TGCAGGACCCTACACTTGCCCTTGTTGAACCTCATGAGGCTCCTCTCTGCCCAGCTCTCCAGCCTGTCCAGGGCTCGCTGAATGGCAGCACAGCCTCCTGGCGCGTCAGCCACTCCTCCCAGTTTAGTATTGTCAGCAAACTGGCTGAGGGTGCCCTCTGTCCCTTCATCCAGGGCGTTGATGAATATGTTGAATAAGAGTGGACCTAGTACCAGCCCCTGGGGAACACCACTAGTTACAGGCCTCCAACTAGACTCAGCACCAGATGCTTCACATTTTCACTCCAAACACAAAGCCTTCAAAGTCTTCCTAGGAAGTCTGCTGTCCCCTCTGCTGAAATCTTTCCCTCTACAAGGCTAACCACAACCTAAAGCCATCCCAGACATCCAAGCAAGTCTTCTACACACCTTTCCAACTTCCCACGACTGGATTTTCCTAAGATAGCCTCCCTCCTTTAATGCCTGTCTCTTCTAATAAGCTCTATGTTGATCTCACTGCTCTCCTCAAGGGCTCTGCTCTTATCCCAGATTATTTCCCACCACCACCGTTGGCCCTATGGCAGCTCCCTCCTCATTTCACAGCTCACCAGCAGTGAGGTTCTCCTGGATGCCCCTCTCCCCTTTCCCTCCTCTTTAGGCTCACTAGTTTGTGCTAGAGCACTTCAATGTTACGCCTGTCGTGGTGGCCTTGGTTTCTGGCCAATAACAGTTCTGTGTACGGGACATGAACTCTTGCTGTTCCTCCAGCATCTTTTCATGCCAAAGCAAAACCAAGAGGTCCTAAAAGCTTCACGTCCAGCAGGTGACCCTCCACTGCAGGAAACAGGGAGGAGGCTCTTTGAGGACTCCAAGGTCACCTAGTAGAGGACATAAGGTCACAGTCCTGTGAAGATTATAAAGCTTTCTGGGCAGACCTGGGGCATAACTGGAGGTTGGACCAAACGACCTCCAGAAGCCCCTTCCTACCCTAATAACTTGTACAACAGCTTCCAACTCCTAACACCTCAAAGCTATTTAAAAAGCCCCCAAACCCAAACATATCCTAAAGCCCTCTTTTTTTTCAAAGCTAGAGGTTTTATCGTTTGCTTTCATGAGACAGGTTTAGTTCCTTAAAACTGCAATCTCAGTTCAAGAGCCCTCTCTTTCATTTTCAATTCCCATTTCAAGCCTGTCTGGTCCCCCCCTTCTCCGAATAGTGACAAGATTCTCATTACGCACCAAAGGTCTACGACCTTCATTAGATGAATTGCTTCAGCACGTACCCAACCACCCCCTCCCCAACCGTACATTAAAGATTAAAAAAAAAAATCCATACTGTGAAGCGAGAATGTTAGTGACAAACCCTCTGCATTTGCACTAATGTTTCATTAAGTTGCCAGGACCCCCTTGATGCCATTTCAAGTCCCAGAGTATATTTATCTGCTGCTTTATGTGCTAACGAGATGACTTGTAATTACCCTATTGTGGTCCCATGCCTGCCGTGGCCAGCTCTCCCTGAGAGGTGAAATGCTGCTGCAGGGGTGAAGGTTTTCATCCATAAACTGGTGCTTTCAGTTGACAAGCTTTGCTGAAATTTTCATAAAGCTGGAGAACGCTTGCAGGTTATTATAGAAGAGCTGATTACAGGGCCCGTAATAAGGGCCTGTGACTAATGACAGCATTCCCCACTGACAGGTAAATACCCAGATAATTGGCATTTGATGTGTAGGGGGGAACAGATCTTGTGTTTCACTTTTTTGGTCCAAAAAAGCATGGATGAAAAAAGTAGTACCAGGCAGTTCTACAGCAACATTGCCCATACTCGTGCTGCTGCATAGGAATTGTTCCATCTAATGCACTGTCAGCAGCAGCCACCAGTGCCAGCTGCTTCAGAGAGGAGCAAAGGGCATTAACAGCCAATATGGGACAAGGGAAACTTTCCTTTTGGTCCTCACAACACCCAGGAGCCACTTTAAGCCTGAAGAATTTAACAGGCTTAATAGCCTCATTTGGCAGAGACCAAATGAAAGGGTGCTGAATATCAAAGCAAATAATCTGGGCTCCCTCTGAGCTAGCATTCGCGAAGATGCTGTTTTTAAGGGCATCAAATTAAGTTCTCATTTTTAAGGAGTCTTCCCAAGACTGGATTTGAAAACAGCAAAACCCCAACTCCGGCGCATTGCAAAGAGATAGTCAGTGTCGGTATGCCAGATGAGGGCTGAGCTCGTGGGACTTGAAGGCTGGGACAGCCCCTTCATGCCTGGGAAGGCAGCCCTATTGCGTGGAGGAGAGCAGCCACTTGACAAGTCACCTCCCTCCCAAACAGGGACAGGTCATACATCTCCTTAAATCCCAACAGGAACACTAGTCTAAATAATGGATCCAAAACCTTTCCCTCTGATGCAACGTGACACTCCTGCTCTTGGGCCACTGGATCTGTCCCACACCCACGGATTCCACAGAGCCAACAAGAATTTGTTGTGTCCTTCTCATCACCTTGGCTATCCTGGTGAGGGACTCCTTGCCTCACCCTTCCCTGCCCTTGTTCAAAAGCCCTTCCACAATCAGCAAGACATTTCCTGGCACTGAATATACTCAAGTCTTGATGGAAACTCTTCCCAAAGACAATTCATTGATCACGCTGTAGTAAAACCAGTCTGAGGCTCCACAAGGCAGCCACATCCAACAGGAAGGCAGCCACCATCCCCTTCCACCAAGCTGTTCCCAACATGAAAAAGGCTTATTTCATGGCTGAATTTGTCTAACTTCAACTTCTAGCTATTGCATCCTAGGGTATTTTTGTGTCAAAGGGTCCAAAAACCCTCCCACTGACTATCACTTACAACCACTCACGTGTAGCGTTCAAGTTTCTTTATCCTCAGTATCATAATGTTTTACAGCCCTAATCTGATAACACTTTCTCCCATATTTCCTCACCATCATTGCTGTGCAGACACCAGAACTAGAAAAGATACGAGCTGCTCTGCCCAGTGTAGGAGCCATTTTCATCACACTGAGCTCTCCTGTTGAGATGACCATACCTGAAGACCCTGGACTTTTCACCTACTCTTCACATAAAAGACCTTCAAAACAGGCATCCCAACTTCCCAAGAAAATCTCCCATCTTAACATTTCTTGTTCCTGGATATATTTGATAATTCATGACTGAACAAGGAGTGAACAAGGAATCCAACTTTTCTTATAGATTCTCATGAAGGTTTGTAGTTCTGACCTTTCTTCTCAACTTTTAAGCAAGGTTTAATTCAGGCTGGTGTGAGGGGAGAGGGTAAAGGACAGCAAACTACTCTCACAACATTACAAGCATCTGGAGTCTGCACAGTAAACGCAATCAACTTTACCCCAAATAACTACCACAACAGGACTCAGTTTCCCCTTGAGACAGGGAGGAACTCCAGCTCCTGGATAACACTGAAGAAATCAAAGGTCACAAGAATGGCTGTTCCCAAGTACACCCGGGCCAGAAACATGAGCTCTGGCAACACACATTGAGATCAAGCACCCAGGTCGGCAGCAAACATCTGCCAAGGAGGCTCTGAACGATCCCAAAGCAAAGCAAATGCCAACAGCGAACCCCACCCATAAGCACCCCAGCAATGCACGTGAAAGGAGATGTTCACCCTCTTGCAACGTGCCACAGGTTAAATCCTGTTCTTTAACCTTTTATAAAACTAAGAATGCCAGTGAAAAGGCGAGTTCTCCTCTTTACCTTGCACTCTTCATCCAGTAGGTCCAAGATACCAAGTTTCGCCTCTATAAGGTCTATGCAGGGCTGGTTATCGTAGAAGTCTATGAGAGTCCAAGGGATTCCCTCCTTCATGTACTCTTCTTGTTCCAGCTTAAACACATGCTGAGAGTGGAAAAACAGACGAATTACTGACCATGACCCCAGCCAGCACAGCGCCGGCCCCTTCTCCATGCACCTACTCGTCTCCGCTGGAGTAGAGTATTCCACCAGTACAGCCAGAGCCGTGGAAGCTTTAGGTGCCCTCACGTACTGCTCCGTACAGGCTCTGCCATTTACACAATCTAGCTTCTGTCAAGGAAAATAAAAGCTTTGCACTAGGAAACCATGGGGCAGGGGGAAAAAAAAGAAAAAAAAGGCTTTAAATGATTTTCACTAGAAAATGACTGAAGCTGTCACTACACCTAGGTGGAAGCTGTATATTGAGATGGCAATGACATATATACCTCCAGGGCTGAGAAAAATCCCTCTCTCCTTTAGTGCTCTGCTGATTAAACTAGCGACCTGCAGCAGGTTCACAAGCGGGGAGTCCAGCCAGGGCTGAGCTCGTGTGCCCCCATCTGTGAGCACAGCTTCACAAAGAGCGCCCATCATCCTAGAAGGGATATCAGCAGCAGTATCTAACTGGCTCAGGAACACTTCTATTGCAGATTCTGATTTAAAAAAAAAAAGTCTTTCCACGGCTTATATATCTCAGACCTCTGCCCAAACAGATAAATTGTCTCTGGCTATTTCTGAGATACTCTAAGCATATTAAAAAATGATTTTTCAAATGCACTTTTTTCTTCAAAGATAGCTTTTAAAAATCTCTTCAAACATGTCATCTCAGAGTTTGAATTTATAAGCTTCAGAAGTGATACTTGGACATATTAAGATATGAATAGTGCAAATACAATCCATAATTTGCTTTTCATTTTTAGCAGCAGCGATCTGATGCATTAGATATACAGCAAATGTTCATGTCCACGCATATGCCACGGTTTCAAAGTGCCAAACCATTCCGCGGTACTTAGCTGCTCAAACTTAAGTTTTCCCTTGTATCCTGAAACTAATAGTAATTTTTTCCCTGCTTACAACAAAAGGAGAAGACGACCCCTTACCCGTTTCATTTCCAGTGTGGGTAAGAGCTTGTATCTAATAAAACAGAAGAATCTCAGGTTTTTGTGAGGCATGTCCAAGTGAAAAATGGAGAGTGTGTCAAATCCTCTTATTTAATACACTATTTGTTGCAGAGGTTTAAGCCACACTTAATGGGAGGTTTCCACCCATGCTTTGTCTCACACTGGAAATCAGGAGTCGGCACAAGACCAGGTTTCAGTTTAGGATTGAAACCACGCCAAAAAACCCCCAACCTTGGCCATCTACTTATTCAAAACCATCAGTGAACCTTTGCATAAACCATTTGCAAACCTGCTGCCAGTATCAAGCTTATAAATCAACCAAGCAACATTTTCAACTCGATACGAGTATTTAGTGCAATTGCAATGACCGATCACTGCCCGGGAGAGAGGCGATCCCAAGGACCACGTTGATGCCGGCCATGCGATCTGGCCACACTGCAGGTAAGCGCCATTAAGCAGAAGGCGAGACACACAAAAATCCCACCTTGATACATTTTCTGCTAAGTTTTATGGAACGTTTCCAAGCTGACCTTACCGAGTTGAACTGCTGCTGGAGCTTTTCGTTGGCATAGTTGATACAAAACTGTTCAAAGCTATTCACTTCAAAAGTTTCAAACCTGCAAAGCAATGAATAAATCAGCATTAAGCGTTGCTTCGTCTCAAAATCTACTTTTCTCTGCAACGGTGTCATCTGCGTGATGGGGAACATCAGTTACTTAACTGACTCTTCACATTCCTTCTATCCTAGATCGACATTTTATTCCTCATTCCCAAAAACGTCTATCTTTCCCTGCCACAACTCCAGGGATTCAAGAGGTCTCTTCTGCTACACACGAATGAGATATTTGGTATGACTGTAGCTTCCTGCCCACCAGGCAGTAGTGCTGTCTGAGATGAGAAATGCAGCAGCCTCTCTCAGGGAAAAATATTATGAAATATTAAGTCCAAATATATTCACTGCAAAGGTGATGGAGAAATAGCAGCTGCTTTCTTAAAAGACCCAACACGGTATTCTTAATGCAATTCAATAGAGCAGAAAAAGAAGGTATTAAATTTGTAATTATAGCCTCTATTGCATCCCTGACAGCACAAAAATTAGATACACGTGAACAAGTGACTTCTGGAAGGGAGAGGGAGAAATGGCGCTTTCAGCTCCAACTCCAACGCGTTCCTTAAGAGGAAGTTTGGTGTTCGTCTCCGTGATCCCCCTTCTTCAGCATGGCTTCACAGCTCCCCTGGCCAAAACATTATCCCACTCCTCCATGGGCCACTGAACAGAGCTCAAAACTGGCTTCCCAGTCACAGTTAGAAATGAAAAAATATGCAGCTTTAATAACACAAACTACAGGCAAGCAGCAGAGAGCCAGCAGAGCCCCTGGGGCGGCCGGGGCTGAAGCACGCGACGCCCAGGGACCGGCACAGGGAGCTAGGCTTGCTCTTAAAAAATAAGGATATTTTTCAGCTACCATAGGGTATTATGTTATTTATATTTCTATTTTTAAGGCATAGTTGGAAGGGGGAGGAAAAAAAAGTCTTCGACACATGACTGTAAGGATTAAATGAAGGGAAGAAGTGGCAAGGCTCCTTGTGCTTAACGAATAAGCTGCTGTAATGATAAATGAGCAATGAAATAATTGCTTGGGTAATAGGTGCTGTAGGAGCTGGCAGAAGAGTCTTTAAGCACGAAAATGAAGCACACACCCCCCAAAAAAATCAGTATTTCTGGTACTTTCTGAGGACTCCCTGGCTGTTGGCCATGCGATGCGGTTATTCCCCAGGTATTACGCAGTGGTAATGCCCTCACCATACGAAACATCTGAGCCCTTGGGGAAAGGTGAGGCAAAAATGCAAAAGGAAAAGAGGGAATGGGAGAAAGGAGCTGCTTTTGTGCTTTTAGCAGCCCCACAGCCCTCGAGGAAACCTGGGATCGCTTCCTCCTCTGCCTGCCCCGGCACTGCCCCCAGAGCCAGTGCAGCTCGTGCCACACCGAAGTTGCTCAATCCCTCCCTATCCCAGGAACTGAGCTTTCATGCAACACAATCTGGTGTCTGGGTCCAATGAAGGTTTATATTAAACACACAGGCAGAGCCTCAGTGATGAACGTGTCCTTGAAGAGCTCCCGCTGTGCTCGATCTCGGTTACACGGCCGTCACGCCGAGCAGACCGGTGCCGTCAAGCTCCTGCAACTAAAGGGATGCGACTCTCCCAGGTCTCCTTGGAAATACCAACTCCTGCAGGTTCATGATCAGAGCAACAGGGCAAGAAAAGATTTGATTAAATCAGGAACGGGGAGGCACGGCGAGCTAGGCAGAAAAACGCAACGAGAACCAGGGTACAAGAGGAAAAGATAGCAGAGTGGAAATTCTTTTTCCACTTCAGAGGCGCCAGATGTGATTTATGAACGCTTTCAGCGAGTGCTGGCCGGAGGCAGAGCAGCTGTACAACCCCAGCTCCAAGGGAGACTTCACGAAGTAGCTAATTGACGGAGTAGTTGGGTCACCAGCTCCATGCACGCCCTGGCCAGGAGGTGACTGCACTAAGACGACATCCCAATGAGAAAAGCCAATCAACAGCCGTTTGATTTCTATTCATTTTAGTGCACTACATCCTGGTGCAAAAAATAAGAATATTCACCCCTCCAACCCATCACGGTGGCTCCCAGGAAGGCACATCCCGGCTTGGGGACAGCTCTCACGGGCAGATGTCAGGGGGTAAATGCTGCATTTTGGCTTCTCTCCTGTTCCCTATTCTGCTAAATCTGCTGCAGCACCAGGGTTTATACTAAAATATTTAAAGTTCATAAATAAGTCCAGCATACAGCTGGCTGCCTGGGTGCTCACACTTCCCTCCACACGGCAAACGGAGGAAAAACAAGTCGTCCCCGCCAAGCCCAGGAACGCCACACGAATCCTCTCTTCAGGCTTTTAGTGCTGCACCCTCTCCCCTCAATGCTGACAGAGAATTAAGGATGCGGAGTCGAGCATTAGAGGGTTAGGAGACAAACCTCACAGGTCTGCACCCTTAGTTTGGACCCCAGAAACCCCACCCATGGGGACAGCCCTCTCCCAGGAGCGCTGGGACAGAGACGCTCTCAGGGTGTCTGGGACATGTGGTGAAGGCTGCTTGCAGGCTCCCCGCCTTTCTGGTTTAATTCCCCTCCCAGAGGGAAATGAAAAACAACAGATATTTGGGAAAAAAAAAAAAATCCAGTATTTGGCAGAATGCATTAAAACTCCCAAATAACCTGAGTCTGGGGAACCAAACCACCTTCAAGGACTGCAGAGAGTCAGGTTGTCACCACCCAAAGTGCCTGCATTGTTAATTACTCAGTATTCAGACAGCAATAACACCTTCTGAAAGGGATTTATGGTCTCTTTAGAGAGACTGGACTCACACACAAGCATTACGGCCGGGAGCGTGGACACCCTTCCCCTGCAAACCTGCCCCTTTCATAGCACCTGCAGGTCCTCATGAAAAAAAAAAAACAAACAACTGCTGTACTCTGAGGTGACACCAGTGCTGTAAAAGCATCTGCTGGCCCAGGCGCTGGACGTGATGCACAGGAGACCTGCAGCTAAGGGAGGTTTTTCTTCCACACTGACAGGTTTTCAAGCCCAGCTTAATCTTTCATGAGCGTTATCCTCAAGTCTCCTCTTATTCAGATTTCTGAAAGACGGCGTCTGATTTTCTAACTCAGACATCCAATTTTCTGCACTGACCTACTGTCGCCAACATGGCTCCATCTCAAAGCTTTATTTATGACATCCCAGCCTGCAGAAATCTCTATTTTTAGCAACACTGATGGGAAAACAACTTTTCCATCTCCTATTCAAATCAGACCCGGCCAATCCCAGCCGATGATTTAAGATCTTCCAGGTCCTGCGTTAGTGTAGGACAGACACTAGCAAACCTCTGACACCAACCTCACCATCTCAAGCCATCCCATTGAAATCACAAACCAAAGAGGACTGTATTCTCATCAGACTTGATACAAGTGCTCCTGTACGGCAGCAGTTGCTGATGGGGATGAGCAGGCAGTGGGCAACGCCGATGCTCCAGCACTGACTTCTGGCATCCTTTCTGCTGCCGTGGCTGTCCAGCAGATGTTAAAATCAACATCCCAAACACCAGCAGCTGCAGAAACCCCACAGGAGGTTTTATACACCAAATCTGACATGCCTTACAAGGAGTCTACCATTACACTGCACATTACAACTGGATCAGGTTGCTCAGAGCCCCGGTTCAGCCTGACCTGGGATGTTCCCAGGGATGGGGCATCCACCACCTCTCTGGGCAGCCTGTGACCTCTCCCTTGTCCTTGCTTCCCAGAGAGTCAGAAAGGGATGGTGCTGAAAGAGGGGAAAACCCAAACCCAGAAGACCTCTCCTTTTCCACCCCACAACTGGCAGAATCCCATCCTTTCTTCTCCACCTTCTGCTTCTTCGCAGCACTTCAGCTAAGATGAACTCTTCCAAGACAACTCTCTCATCCCTTTTCTAACAGCGCTCAAGTGCCAGGACAACAGACTGGACAGTAACTGGTACCCAGCTGAATTTAAAGCAGCTCATTGCCCGAGGCCGCAGGCTGCAAGCCTTGCCCTTGGTTATGGCGGAGCTTTTTGCACCTTACCCCGCAACTGCAGGCTCTCAAAGTCCTCTGAAAGCTCTCGCTGCACAAGGGCCCTGCAGCAGCGGTTTCACGGCTGAAGAAGCAAAGTAGTTGCCTCAAATCCCACAGTAACTCCAGGCAGAGCCAAGCACAGTCTCTGGTCTCCACATCAGCACCTTTACCCCTAGCTCATCTTTAAGCCTGATGCTTTAAACAGCAAGCAGGATGGAAATCCTGAATGGGAACGGCATGGGAGGTAAATCCCAAAAGCCAGCGCTCAAACAGATCTGCGTGCACCATTTCAGGGACAGGGCTATCAATCTAGAGGAGGATCAAAACTACAAACCACAGACGACTGCGCTTTTTTTGCGTCCCTTTCTATTATTCCCATCACCTGCCACAAGCCAAGGTCCAGCGTGCACTGCCAGAAGGGTAAAACAAATCAGAAAGGACTCACTAAACAGTCTTAAAAGCAGAAAGCGTGCCTACCCGTAGATATCGAGCACGCCGATGAAGGAGTGCTGCTTGACAGTGGTGTGCAGGGCCTTGTTGATGTGCTGCACGATCCAGTTGAAGAGCTGGGCGTAGATGTGCTTGGCCAGGGCGTTCCTGGCGTTCACCACTTGCTGCACAGACATGGTCTTCACGTAGGTCTCGGCCGTGGTGACGAGCTTGCGATGGCAAAGCCAGTGCTGCATCTGGCTGTGCTCCACACCCAGCAAGCTGCACAAGTTGTTCAAGTGCTCGTCCTCGCTCTGGGGGTAACGAGAAGCAAAGTCACCAGGTTGGTGATACTCCAAAACTGGAGTTTTAACACTAGGTTCGCACATCAGCGCAAGAAATCAGCAGCATTTCCAAACCCTCTAGGGAAATACCGTGTTTCTCTGTGGTGGATAGGAAACAGAAAAGCAACGAACAGTCATCCCGTTGCACTAGTTTTCATGGACACGGATGGAATGGCTCAGACAGAGCCCTGAATGGTGGTACAGCCTATGGCTTTGCTCTGCTCTGGCTATCCTCAAGGTCTCGATTTTCATAAAGAGCAGATTTCCACAGTGACTGCCAACAGGAAAGTGCACTTTCCACTTTACCCCTCCTTGCGCTGCCACTGCGCCGCTCCTTCAGAGCAACCTTGAATAAGCCTTACGTTAAAGCTTAGGGTGTGCCATTGCACCGTGCCTTTTACAAACTAACCCCATGTTGAATAACCAAGTTGCAAAATCTGCGTTACCAGAAGGGCTTGTGTTTTGCAGAATCAATAAAATGAGGTGTGAACTTCATTTTCTCTACTGCATTGTATTTCCACCACCCCCCCACAAACTAAGACAAGGCAGTTCTGAGTCTCTTTTAGGCTAAGGTAGCGGGCACTGCCTTTTGGACAATGAGAAACCAATTTCCCTTCCCTCAGTGTAGTAACGCATATCTAAACAAAGTAAATTGTTTCCAGTTAGATATGTGCACATACAGAAGCTGGGTGGGTCTGGGGATGGAGAGAAAAATGCATTTTAAAAGACTTCCAGGACGCTTTATTGCTACGATACCTTTTTGATGGTGGATTCAAAGACATGACAGGATTGATTTAATACCACGCAATTATATCTGAACGTAATTAAACAACATGAACACCATTACAGAACTCAACACTGTTGGAGCAGACCGCTTTCACATACCCACGTTGCCAAATATCAAGCAAATTACCTCCAGCATCTAACTAATTGCACACCACATTATCTCAAGGGTACCACTACAAGTGTGTGTAGGACCCATTTTAACACTTTAATTAAGAACAAACGACCAGTCTGGGATGCAACTATCATTCACAGGACAGTATTTTCCCTATAATCACTTTTTTTTTCTTCCTTTCCCCCCTGAACAAACACAGAAACAGAAAAACCACCAGCAAGGCATCCTTAGCCTTATTTATTCTTGCTAATTAACTGTGCAGCGCTCCTTTGGATATTGCGTGGTCACACCACAAGCAGCAGCCTCACAGCTTTGCCTGTAGTTGTAGAGCACCACACCTTCTGCTGCTGGGAGTCACTGTTCCCCCAATACTTGGTGTGCCAAGCCTTTTAAGGAAGCAGAAGTCAGAGATGGGTTGGGAAGTGAGGCAGTAAGCGACCTTTGAATCATCTCTCTTATGGGCTTGCTAGAGAGAAGAAATAATGCACTATCTTCCAGGAAAAACAAAGCAACCAGGAAATTATGATGTGTTTTCAAAAAAAGCAAAGAAAGCCAGGAGGAAAAGGGCTTTCCACCAAAGGATACTGCTGCAAAGCTCAACACATCCAACACGGGCCGATCTATGAGCAAAATCTCCCCGTGCACCCCACTCTTGCTTGTGACCTACCGACACACTGCAGGCATCGCCGTCTCGTTCCGCTTGGAAATCCAAGTTCCCTAGGTGCAGAATGGCAGCAATTATCCTAAAAATGGTCATCTGATGAGATTCCTTCACTCCTATGGGAACAATTGATACCTGATTGTCACAACAGAAAAAAACCTGCAATTTTCAGTTTATTTGAAAACGCTCACGGTGTTTGACTTCCTTGGTGTTCGGAGTTGGTTTTCAGAGTTCTCGGACCTCTCACAAAAAACTCACCACAAACTCTCAGTAAAGGCATCGCTCAAAAACGACAGCAGAGCCTGCAAGAGGAGCTCCTCATGCTATTTCTTTACCCCTAATGGTTGCATCAAAGCAATTTTATCGCAGATGGGTTTAATACTATTGTGAACGTGCGTGAAGCCAAGGATGCTACTCCGTAACGATCAAAGGGGATCAGAGCTACAGGGGCTCTGCGGCTTTCACAGAGCGAGGAGTTGCTTCTCTGTGACCGTAGTCCAACAACAAGATCTCGCTGACAACCGAAGCACAGAAACGACAACCTACTGCCAGCCTCCCACAAAGAGAAGAGAAAATTAAAGCCGTGCACGTGAGGCACAACGCCTCCAGGCTGGTGCTGCAGCAAGTCACCAGGGAGGTGATGCGAAGCTCTGTCTTACAGTCCCCGGTGTCCTCACAGGAGCTCCGTGTTACGGGTCTTCACTGAGGGTGTAGGACGTTACTGAGTTACATATTTTTCTGGCAGGCTTCTGCAGCAGGAGCTTTGCTCAGCAGCAGCCTGTGCGTGGCTTTCTTGCCATACCTTGCATTTTTACATCCCAACGGGGTTTTGTGCGCCCCTTTTGTGCTCAGGGCTGGTGTCCTAATTATCCACCCAAGGTCTGAGACATCACCCGCTGGCTTTTTGAATTATCAAGAGCTTCCCTTTCTCTCTCTCTCGGGACTTTTCTGTTATCTGCACAGTGAGAAATGTTTCAAGGTTACTTAAAGGAGCAATGCTCTGCTGTAACTTGGCACTCTTAATTGGAGTTAAGCCTGGCTAGGATGGGGATTTGCAGATAAATCTGGCTTCTCCTTGTTACACATAGAAAGGCAAGACTGGAAAGTGTAGTAGCAACTTCACCAGGCCCTGAACAAAAGCAGACAGAGCTGGAACACACTGAAGGACAATGAGGAAAGGCAGAGCCAGGGGAAGCATGTGAAGAGCAGGAAAACATCATCAAATTGGCAGCGGAGGAAGATGCTCACATGGTGCTTCACGGGGAGCAGCAAGGAGACAGGGGGCCTGCTTGAGGAGGCAGAGAGGGGAACCAAAGAGAGTCTACACATGGCAAGGGGATGGGGATAGAGTTCCCTGGGGATTACAGACCCCAAGGCAAGTCTGGAGCAAACAATGGAGTCGTATTTTTTGAGCAGTTAACAGTTAAAGTCACACAAGCTGGACAAGGGGAGGGTTAAGACAAGACCCTGCTGTCACCCCAAAGGAAAAGAGACTGAGCCCGTCTAAAACACAAAGAGGACAAATTTGGGGGAAACACAGTTAGAACAGTTGAAATGAGTCCCCAGTGCCTGAGACGCAGCCGCTCAGAGGGGATTTCACAGCTGTCTGTGAACACCACGAGCTCCTCTCCCAACATACGAAACGCAATGGAGAGGCACCGAGACTCGGCAGGATTTAAAAACTTGGTTTTGGATAAATACTAGTAAACTGGGAAAGTTTTCCCCTGCAAAAATTGGTCTTCCTTTCAAACATCCTGCTCAACTGCAGCACGCACGGGTGGTTGTCGCAGCAGCAGACTTTGCAGCTGGCCATGCAAACGCGGACTCTGCCCAGCAGGGATGCACCCAGCTCATTATTCCCAGGAATCAGCTAATCGGTACCACACTGTGATGGTCCCAGAAGCGACATCACTCCCAACCCAAATACAGATTGAACTGCAGAGTAATAGCTCTTTTCCTGCTTGTAAATAGGATAAAAAAATAGCAAGTCAAAGCTGCAGCACAGCTTTGACTCCAGAATGGTTTGTTTAGGTTTCTCTTAAATTCAGCATCCTCCTCCATTTCACTGCTGCTTCGCAGACCGCTGTGAGAAACACTGCTGCAGCTCACGCTAAAGAACAAGGGAAAGCCAACTAGGTCAATAGGAACACAGATTTATACCTCTTAGTGTTACAGGAGAGCTGTAAAATTGAGGCAAAATACTGAAAACGTTTGCAAAAGACTTCTGCTGGGAAGCCTCTAAGCAGAGCAACCCCTTACCGAGCAGGGTGAAGGCGTGCCTGGTTTTCTCAAAGTCATCAGCATCGTCCACGCCCTCGATAGACGTGTCACCGCCCTGAGAAGTGTAGAAAAAGTCTTCGGCACATGCTAGGAGAGAAGGAACAGAAGAAACGCATCAGCAAGCAGGAGCTTTCTGGAGCATGCCCTGGGATGCCCCCTGCCCCCCATCTCCTTCAAATTACGGTTTACTTAGAGATGGATGAAGTATAACCTTGATAAGTGACTGGAACTACTTCTTGCAGTGATGAAACCCCTTCCCCATGCAAAGCCAAGATCAACCAGGGCAGACCCACGGTATATTTGGGATTTGAATAACTGCTCTATCGCACGCCTGAGGACTATTTCAAATACTGAGGTTACTGCTCTCCATTTTTTTATCCTGTTTTACATACCCGTGACCCGTTCAGTTACTTTAACACTTTTCCCACATAATGCCTTAAACCTGGGGAGCAACGGGAATGGAGAATTGCTCGCAGTGCCGGCATTACACCGCTTAAGCATCTGTGCCTTAGCAAAGTTACTTCAGGACGACGCAAAGCTAAATCCTACAGAGACCGAGAGGCATTTCAAATGCAGATACAACACGGAGAGAGAGTAGGATTTATATTCACTTTAAAAAGCTTCACATGCAACCACCTCTCTTTAAAACAAGGGCTTATTTGAGGCCAAAACCACTAAGATATGTGCCCAAAGCTGCCACCCTAAGTCCTGGCAGAGCCGGAGCAGGCTTGGCCCTGAGGAGGACTCGGGGAGCCCAGGAGGTGGACAGCCTCCCCATTCCCCCCAGAATCAGTTCTTAGCATCAGCTTCAAGTTGTTTCAAAGGAGCGACTTGCCAAGAAAAGCTCAGAAAGATCATTAATACTCACAAACATATTTCCCAAGGATCATGAAAATAATGAGAAAAACAACCTACTGGGCGTTCTACATCAGCCTGCTGGTAACCTTTAAAAATCACTGCAATCTGCACATTTTTTGACTCATATTGCCACCAGAAGGTCCCCAGCCCTCCCGCAGGCTTTTGCATTAGCTGTACTTTCAGGCTGCAAGAAAAACATTTAATTCTTTTTGGCGTAAAGCCCTGAGACCTGGAGGTTTCGGTAACTCCGCTCATTGCTGGAGCATCGGGAATAAGGGGCAGAAAATGCTGATTGGGGCCAGAGAGTCGATGTCCATCGTGGTCCCCCCAGCACAACGGGAGCTCAGCCAGGTTGTGATGGAGCACAACACATTAACAGCTTGATGTCGCTGCGTGTCACCCCGCAAGATGCAGCCAGGCCTGGCAGCGGTTGATGGGATTGGGACAGCAGCCTCCAATTTTAACCAGCCACATTGGGATCTGTTTCTGCCTCAAGTCATCTCTGGTATAACCGACTCCAATATTTCTATTTCAATATGTGTGAGATGATTTTAATAACCCCAGAAACCCTTTGATTCGCTGCAAACATATTCCTGCTTTGCACCACTGCCCAGGCATCGTTCCGTTAGACATCACACTTCGAAAGGCACCGCGTTGCACGCCGTCTCCCACATTTTAAATCAAATATATTTACTTCCTAGTTTAAAATCAAGCCTTTAGGATATCTTTGACTGAAGAGCCAACACTGACTGGTTTGCTCTGCTGGGCTCATGTAAGTTTAGAGACTATTTGTTTTCCAGCGTTTTGCAATATAAAAGAGAGTAACAACAATTCTTTGCATGTGCAAACCCAAAGGAGAAGCAACAGCTCCTACTCTTGATATGGAAAAATCTATGTCCTGGTCTCTGTCTAATAAAAGGTGGATTTTCACATGAAGACACCCCTTGTTTTGTATAAGCCTTGGGAAGAAAAGGTTGACAGCTAGGTAAGGTGCAGCTCACGTGAGTAAATAAATTTGGGGTTTGACTAGTCCTCTTGAAATACAGGCTAGTAAATCTGATGCAAAGTTGGTAATGAAAAAAAACCCCTCAAAAGAAAGAAGAATAAGTGAATTGTGCCCTCACAGAAAACTGTCCAGCAGTAATTCCACGGGTCAGGGCGATACAGCAAACACACAAACACCACGGAAAAGCGCAGCCGGAGACTGACACACGCTGACAACATCAAATTTTGATTAGAAATGACACAAGAAGGCTTCCTTGGGCTAACGGCCCTGGCACCCACCTCCTCCTACACCGCCAGCTGTTGCCATTGCACATTCTCCCTTGAGACACTGAAGCTGAGAGCCACAGTCACAACAGCACAAAGATGTCCTGGGTGAGGCACCAGGAGAGCAGGGAGCTCTCAGCCTTCGCTATTACGACAACTACAGATGATGCTTTTAGAGAGCTGTGTTGAACAACACTGGTATTTCCTCTGATCCACGTGTTCCCAAGAAGAGAAAGGTGGTTTCACAGTCAGAGCTCTCCAATATCAACTCATTTCCCAGACTAGGTTGAAATAATTTATGTCTAAACTCTTAAGACACCAGCGGACAACAGCCGGACAAAGCTACCCAGGGTATCTTTGCAAAAATGAAGTGCATAAACCCACGGCAGAAACTCTTGGAAGTGCTCAGAGATGTGCTGTGGGGTCGTGTGAGCATGCGACAGGACCAAACATGGGCTCTTTGGCGGTAGCTGGGAAGCCACTGTCAGAACATCATAATTTTGGGACCCTTAGAGACCAAAAGGAGCGCCGGGTCCATCACAAGCCTTGACCTATGGAGCCACATTTCACACTACAGCTGGTGCACAGTGAACCATGCAAAAATTTCACCTCCCACCCAGGTCTGGGACAGACATTACGGTTATGCCTAGACAGTCTTAGAAGTTATCTTATGCCTTAAGCAAACTCATGGATGTGGTTGTGTGGTTTGGTGTCACCAGGCAGAGTAAAGTAATGCACCAAGGCTTCCTGGTGACAACAGGACAAGAACAGGAGTGCTTCCATTTCAGCACCAACACTCGGTAGGCGCGGTCAACATGCTGAGGTTGACCCAAAAAGTCATTAACACAAGCCCACAATTACCCAGAAACCAAAAGCCTCTTTCTCAATCTACCGCTTCTCTGTAGCCACGACGGAAACCTCTGTGAGACTCTACAGCAGCAAGATGCTCGGGATCACAACCTCCCTTCCTCATCATTTTAAATACTTAAAAGCATGTTTTAATCCTCACTTCTCTTTTTAAGCAACAGCAAATATGCAAGATCAAAAATTAATTACACCACATCTCCGCACCCCCTGCTGCAAGTGAAAAGCCTCTTATTCAGTGTCTTACAGAGGTTTTGCTGCAAATCCTGAGGAAAAAACCCAACTCAGGATGCATCCCAGGAGGTAAAAAATGAAAAAATACAACGGATTCAAAGGACACAACAGCTCCTGTCAAGACTCTGGCCAGATCAACCCATACTCACACTTGATTTAAAAGACAGATCTTCATGCAGGTTTCGTACAACATTAACACACAATCTCACTGCATCAGCTGGCATCTACCATGTGGTTCACCGGAGTTCTGCAGGCAGTTTCTACAAAATACACAGGCTTCTTCCACCATGGATAACCTCCAGCAACAGCTTCTACCCACCAGCAGCGCCTAACGGCACCGACGAGTGCAACACAAACTTCACGCACTTCATGCAGCAAGCTGCTGTGCAGCAGAGGTGACGAGGGCCGGTGTCATCCAAGGCACCACATCCCTGGAGATGGCGTGAGCAAACCTGTGCACCACTGGGAAGAAGCAGCCCTTCAAGCTCACCTCTGGTTACCTCCTCCCACTGAGAGGGCACGCACCACCTCACTGATGACCTGCATTTCTAACCCCACAATGTTTGCCTGTTGCCATCAAACCCAAGCAGCAGCCACGGGGGCACGGGGAGGTAGAATTACTTACTTAGTCCAAGGTCTTTGAATTCTGGAAGACTTGCTGAGGCACAAAGCTGATAGAAAATGTGGTAGTTGCGCTCCTCCTCTGCCTACGGGGGAAAACGCTGAGTTAACAGAGGCAAGGGCTGCCCTGACCCCATCCCATGCTTCCCACCATCAAGACCCCCTCAGTGCCACCAAGAAGATGGGGACATTTTGCCACTTGGGAGAAAGGAGGCAACAAGCCTTGCCCACACCAATGTATGTTGCCTATCTTGCAGAGAAAATAAATAACTTTATACTACCTTCCACACCTTATCCCTCTCTGGGATAACTGCGCTGAGGTAGCTAGTAAGCACCACGTTGCAAACTGACAATCACATAAAAAGAGGTGACCTACACTCAGGGCTTCCCAATGTCATTTGTTTTTAGGACTTTTGTAGCTGTTTGTTTGTTGGTTTGGTTTTTTTCTGTAAGGACAAAAGTTTTACAGGTACTTCTGAGCTAGATTGCAAGTACAAATCAAGAAAGCTTGTCCCGAGTCCTGCACAAGAAACCCACGGGATGTGCGACGGCAGAGCCATCAGCCTCCACAGCCTTCCTCCTGCCTCTCCTCCATCTTCAAAACTGAAGACTCTTGTCTGCAATTTATTCTTCCTGGCTTTTTATGAGGCTCAGTAAAAACCTCAGCAGCTGGCACAGAGCCAGGCTTGCCATCCCTGGCCAGCAGCCAGGCCAGGAACAGCAGTCCCTCCTCAGGGCTCCAGCCTCGGGTAGACAGAGGGAACAACCAGAGGCCAACTAATGTGTCTCCAAGGTACCTATTCCTTCAGAATGAAGTCATCTGGTTGGGACCATCAACAACAACTGCAAAAGACTGTGCCTGAAAGACACGTCTGGAAGCTGTGTCCACCAGGAAAGCTACTTTTAAAGTTATCTTTTTTTAATCCATGTAAAAAAATCCAGACTATTAAGTTCCTGGAGGTCAGCATCCAAAAGAAAAGAAGGAAAAAAGCACAACTCCTCACCTGGAATACAACTCGTGATTTTTCCAACAGATAAGTCCTCATGTTGGCACCAATGATGTGGTATCTCTTATCAAAGCCGATCTGAATGTACTTCCCAAAGCGACTGCTGTTGTCATTCCTTGTTGTTTTAGCATTTCCAATTGCCTGCATGAAACAAAATTAAACATCCATTTTTAATTTAATTTTTAAAAAATATTTAAATTTGTAATCGCTGTTACACAAACAGTCACGGGAGGATTTAAGGAACAACCTTTCCCACATGCAGGAGGCAGAGCAATGACACAACTTTGGGGAGGACTCTTCACTGAAAATGTGGCGTCTCCAGAATTTTTATGGCAGAAAAATGCATATAAACAGCAATGAGTATTTGTAGAGTAATTAGATCATCAACACCCCAACAGCCACAGCACTCCTGTGTTGTCTCATAGGATGACCCCACCTTTGCTCATGAACAGTCAACACTGGCAGCTTTCCTGGAGGGGACATGGGCGATGAAGCCCTGCGAGAGGGAGGGAACGAGCTGCCATCCATCTCCAGATGGTCAAGCTTCGGTCCATGGATTCGGTGACATGGCTAGAACCACTCCGTGCCTCTCCAGCACTTACCTGTCACCTCCTGGGCAGGTAATGCTGCCACAGAGAGTGGCAGAAGGGAGAGGAGAGAATCCAGCCCACGTGCAAACATGGGAATCCATCAAGCAGCCAAAGGAGCAACTTGTGGTGATGCAAGAAGGCCAGAGAAAGACAATATTCCCTTTCATGGCTACACCAGTCTTACTTTCTACCACCATTCCCCTGTCCTGAAGATGATGAGCCTCAAGCAAGCACAGCAGAAGTGGTGGAAGGGATTGGACATGTACAGGAAAGAGCCCTCAGGCACCTCTCGAAGGCTGGCTGCCTTTCCCAGGCTCTCCTTGCAGACCACCTCTACCTACAATGCAGCTCTTGGGGAACCCCCCCAGCACGCAAGCTTAACAAGAACCGCAGCATTACCTACAGCATCACACTGACATCATCCAAAACTTCTGATCATAGGACCTGATGCCTCCAGCTGCCTGTAGTGGAACTCCCAGCTCCCCAGGGAATTACTCTGTGCAGTACAGTGCTGCCTACACCGCAGAGGCTGTTGCACACGCAAAACTGCTCCTTGCTGCCTGCCCCCTTGGCTGCTCCACCTCTCCTTCAAGGCGGCCCGATGGCCTCAGCATCGCACTCAGAGCAAGCCCTGCCCGCTCCCTGCCCTGTCCACCTGCCACCAAGCCAACTCCTCTGCTAACTAATGCACCTCCTTCCCCCAAAGCCCATTTATTTACACCTTTACCACCCCCTTCCCCACCGTTCACAGCAATCCCAGACCCACAGCCCCCACTTCCCACCTCCAAGCCCTCCAGCACGCATCCCCGACCGTACATAAAAGCAGCAGGACAAAGGCAGAGCACACACACTCCATTTCTGCCCATAGCCCAGTGCCCATTCACCAGGGAAATAAGAAGTTCACAAACTGCTACAACAAACGCTAAAACCAGATATTTTGCACGCTGCGTTGAGCATCCAGAACACCATCATCATGTGCTTTGATTCCTTGTCTATAAAGCAGAGTTACCTGCCCCATCTCCCAGCAGCAACATCCAACCCATACACCAAACACAGCACTACGGCCTACTTCACGACACGCACATCCCTCTACTCCATCTTCACACTTGAACTTTGGGGGTTTTTTTGCAAACCAGGCAGTTCTCTTTTATGGTTTTTGCGTGGGCAATGTTCTCACCAATTTCCAATCAAGACAGACAGGTTCCCTGGCCCCAGCACTTTGAAATTACATCCAGTACCGAACACAGGCAAGAAAATGAGAGCAATAAAATTATGGGGTCATATAGAAGAACAGCATGCGCTATGAATTTTTCCTTGGATGCTTTTAAGCATTCCCAGGTATTGCAGCTACATTTCACAGAGGCACAGGAGATGGGTGAGGAAAGGAGCAAAACAGCGTGAAGCCCCCGCTGCAGCAGATCATGGAGTCTCCTCTGCCAGCCGTTCACCCGCGTGGCTTTTCTTGCTGCTCATCTGCACCATCCCTTGTTTCACCGTTCCAGCTCGCACCCTACATCAGACAGCACCATGCCAGACCCTGCGTGCTGCCTCTCAGGCTGCGTTTTCATCCTGGATCAGCCACCGTCTCCGTGTCTATTAGACCATTTGGCCACGAGGCACCGCGGTGGGAAGCCTCCCTGCAGGTCAAGCCAAGACTAAGGTTAAGCGCAGGACAACGCTCCACTACAGCAGCACTGCTGTCTGCCTTTAAAAGAAAGTCACACAAGTCTGAAGTGCTTAACTGACTTTGGAAAAGCCCAAACCTTGTCTTCATGCTGACTCCAGCATTTTGCAAATAAAGGCATCTGACTCCAAAATCTATTTGGAAAATGGGATTTAGGCACTCAGACATTTATTTTCAGCATCTGGTCACGGTGCAATGAAGCAAGGCGGCTTTTTCCCATTATTTTATATCTATAAAAGGAAATTTTTTCCTTCAGAGCAGGGATTTCCCTATAACGGGACTTGGTATTCCCCTATATGATGGATAGCGACAGAAAATTAACAAAAATAAAACTGCATTTAAATATCTCAAATAGATAAATCCCCTTTTTTTCTATTTCATGCAATTAAAGAAGAAGATTAGGAGGTACCATGCCGTGGCAAGGAGGAGGAAGATGAAGATGATAAAATACTAATGGTGCTGGCAGCACCGCTCAGGCTCTCCACTCTGAAGCCCTGTTAAAGCCCAGCTCCCAGAGCTGTGCTGGGGATGGCACAGGCTCAGCCTCGAGACCACCAAACAGAGGAGTAATTGGGATGGGCTAAACGGAAGGTATCAGCATATTTCTGCATTTGCCGTCCAGCTCAGGGCTGCCGTGAGGCTGCAAATCAGGTCTGGTTCACAAGCCCCTACGGCTCTCGCTGTTTTTGTGACTTCTGGAGAGACACAGTGAGCACTGCAAGCAGGACAAAGGAAATGATGGAGCTTTTACCTCCATAATCGGGCTCGACGCAAGGACTTTGGCTTCGATGTTGGTCTCGCTGGCAGAACCACCGACGGTTGCGAAGAAGCGCATGGCGTATTTGGCAGAGACTGTCTTTCCAGCACCCGACTCCCCACTCACGATGATGGACTGGTTCTTCTCATCCCTGTTGCGGCAGAGAAGAAAAGCTTTTGTAAGTTAATCCATTTTCTTGTCACTAGTCTGTTCGCATCAGGCCACAATCGTCCACCTTCGCGTCTCCGTCTCCCTCGCCTTGTTACCACCTACATTAATGTTGCTGGATTTATTCTGGACTCCACCAAAGTAATGGTGGATAATACACAATTGTGACACCTCTCAGCTAAAACGTAAAGGACACTCTCAACATCTCCAGAACACCTCCGTGGGCTGGCAGAGACAGCGGGAGGTGAACCCCTGCATGAAGCAATGCTGCCTTCTTCACCCCTGGAGCTTGTAACCCAGCATTGGAAAGCCCATTCCTTACACGCCGCAGTAACAAACCTCTGCTGCTTGACATTTGTCCGGAGAACCATTATAATCTTCTAATTAGCTTCTAACTATATATTTAATTTTTCACTCTAACACCTTCGCTCAAGCATTTGAGACTTTGCTCAACAAAACATGAGCCATCAGTTGTGAAACGTGCTCGAGTAGCCTATTGCTGAGCTATTTAAACCACAGATACCCAGAAAGGTGCCTCTACGCTCAGAATATGTTAAAAATATTGAAGCTGTGAAATCAAGCACCCTAAAATTAGGACATAGCAGAAGTCATTTGGTTCCTTATGCAATTACATGAACATCAGTATTTTTACATGTATCCCAACATCTGGTTAAAACTTTGACAAGGATAACACAAAGCCTGTCTCTGACATCAGACTCACACCAGCTATTCACCCCCAAATCCTGCCATATTGTAAGTCACCTCACCAAAGAACAGAGGTACTGCTGGGACGAACAGGTAAAGAAAAAGAGGATAAAGAGTTTAAAAGCAATTCCTGGCAGACATCACTAAGTAAAGTTTGTTCAGCTCCTGAAGCTCTGCCAAACAAAGCTGTTTTTAAGAAGGACTCGCTTGTTAAAAGAAGGATCAGGCAGCCTTACCCTCTCCAAGCACACACCAAATTTGCTTACGAAAGGATACAGGTGTATCAGCACCAGGATAACAAAATTCAAGCAAATATACCCCGGACCTTTTTATCTGCATGTATGAAAATGCTTTGCAGGAGTGGGAAGTGTTATCCTGGCACCAAAGGGCTGATGCAAACCCTTCTCCAGCCATGACGGGAGCAGATACCACCGCCCCATCACTGGGCTGGTGCTGGGTCGTGTGAGCAGCTCTGCCTCTCCAGGCTGGACGGGATCAGAGCTAGGGCAGACCACCAGATACCTGCAGGGAACAGGACTTTGCACGGGGAAGCTGAAGGCGCATCACCTTGTGTAGCTTTTGAGCCTTGCATGGAGCACAAGACTCATCCAAATGGCTTTTTCCTCGCAAAATTACTCACTCACACACAGAAAACCCTTACACGAGTCATCGTGGCTATATTAAAATACACAGTCCTCCCCACCACAGGTGTACAGTGTGACCCAATAGATACGTCCCAGTAATTAATCAGTTTAATGAGCTTGAGCTGCAAGGCAGAGAAGGGCCAAGTCACTAAGGGGAGCTTTCTTCATGAGAACTACATCCCTCCAGGCAAAGATCTGCCGGCACTGAGAGCAAGTGCCTCTGCTGCAGTGGGATCTGCTCCCCAGCGCATCATCAGCACATGGCAAACTCAGCACCTCTGTGATTTGGCCATGGAATTTGGGAAGGAGAGAAAGTTCTTCACTGCAGGATTTGATATAAGCTCCCAAAATACCAGAGCTACTGGGGCAAGCTGTAAGTACGTAATTGAGTGCGGTTTTAAATAAGATCAAACTAAACTTCCCAGACTCTGCCCGGCTTTCATGAATCACAGCCGAACGCTGGCACACAAAATCCTATATACGAGTGCAACAATGAATTTACACCTTGCAGTTCCCTTGACATCAGGAAACACTGTAAAAATGCATTTCAATTTAAGATACTCAGTTCAAGTTTATACCAGCGAGAGATGAGAAGAGACACTAAATGGTTGCTGTATACCACTCTTACACTTTCAACAAACATACAAACGTGCTGCAACACCACACCATTATTCTCCTCCACTGTCAGGCAGGTACATCTTCATTCCTTCTGGGGTCAAGATAATTGGTTTGGAAGAAAACCGCAGTCAAGCCAAACACGTAACATTTTGGTGCAAACCAAAACTTTGCAACACTTCCAGCAGGAGAGGACTGGTGAGCTGATTTCCAGACGTGCCTGTATTTTTCAGGGATCAATTCATAAAGTACATATTAACCCATCCTCTGGCCAGCTCCACCAGCAAGAAGGCAAGAGGAACCTCCAACCACTCCAGCTATTAGGCGGTTAATGCAGAAATACCAGCCCTGAACCAAGCACAACCTCGCCCAGGCAGCCAACAACCCTGAGCTCCCGGTGACTCATCCCGGGTGGGGACAACCTGTGCATCTCACCGAGGACTTGCTAAGTCACGGCTGCATGCCCTCCGCACGTCTTGGCAAAGCCACCGTCACTCTCCCGCAGGCAGCCAGCTGGCGGGACTCGGGCACGGGGCTGCCAATGCGTTGGTCTCACACCCTTTAGACTTCCATGGGTGTGTGACAAAGCTCTTTTTGCAGCATGAGCCATCAGACACATGAACTCAATGGAGAAAAACCAGCACCTCCAAAGTGAGGAAGGAAGACTAAGCACCAAAACCAGAATCATGCTGGATAAACCCATAGCAGTGGTTCCTGGGACAGCCAATGACAGTGATTTATCACGGTTTATCTTTGGATAAAGTAGGTAAGAAGTTTCACGTCTGCTTTGATCACCTTCGTGGACAACCACTTGCTGAGCTCCAGCAGTGAGCATCCCACGTTGGACATCAGTAGGATGCCACTCATGTCAGCTACAAAGGAAGGAGCAGACACAGAGGCTTTGTCACGGGCTGCAAGTGCAGATGAACGGACTATCCATCATCAGAGGTGGGGGAGAAGCAGAAGAAAGGGGGGACAACCAAGATCTCTGCCAGCAAGCACTGGCCCCGCAAAAGAGCTCTGCAAATTCAAAGGTGGTTTGGCTTCGAGCTACGCTTGCCTAAAGGTTACTTGAGAATTGTTGCTTCTTACCCTTCTCAGTGTGACAGGTACTGCCCAAGTGGCACATTTCAGGAAACATTTCCCCTCTTTTTCTTCCTTAACCCAGAAGATGAAAACTACACCAGTCTGGGAGAGACTCTTTGGTTGAATGAAGCCAAAAAAGCTCAAATAAGAGGAATTACGCGTTACTTGGCATCCAGCCAGCACTGCTACAAGGTAGCAGGTTGTAACCTGTTTTTCCCTATTGAAGATTCATAATTAAGACCTCTCATTACCAATTTTGACCTCTTTTGTAACTTCTCCATATCAGCTATTGGGGTTTGCCTAGCTGGAGGAGGCAGAGACCAACCCACCGGGGAGCCCATCCAGGGAGCTCTCCAGACCCACAGTCTTTCCCAGGCTTCAGGTCCCATCACAAACTGCCTTTTATGTAGCATCCCAACCGGTTTCTTCCTCCCTCTGGCTTGTCTTTTTTCAGAAGTACCATCATTCTCCAAAAGACACCGAACCTGGGGATTAAAAAACACAGCCAACACCATTTACTGCTATTGCAGCCACTCTGCCAGGACACGTTTTTCCAGAGTTTCTCAAGAACTTGCCCTAACACCCGATGTGCCGCTACATGAAACGGGACGGGTGGGTTCTCTGTGGCACAAGAAAACTTCTGGAGTTGTATCATATTAATAAAATAAAATACTAACAAAGCTGCTGGCTTCCAAGCAAGACACCAAGGCCACTCAAGCTCCCGTGCTTGCAGTAACAGGTCTCTTCTCATTGTTTTTTTTCGTGGAAAACACACGTTCAGACATTTCTTTGCCAACTTCAGGAATAAAAGCCTTCAGGAAAAAAGGCTACAAAGACTATCCCTTCTTTGGTATACAAGTTAACCAGCTGCTGGTGCCAGCAGGGAAAGACAGATGAATGCCAGTGAGCAGCTGGTAGCCAACAGGCTGCTCAGTAAGAAGAAATAGTTAAAAACGGGCAGGACTTGTTTGTACTCAGCGTGCAATAATAAATACTGAAATGTTTGGCCATTGCGCAGGTGCAGTATGCCACATGGCTGCTTGAAATATAGTAAATTTTGGCAGCATCAGCACAGAATAAAATTATTATGGAAATAAAGCCTGGATAAAATGAAATGTTATGGGTGGATACCAGCTCCGCTGCAGCATGGCAATGCTGTCACATCTCCTCCTAGGGCTTATGTGGCTCCTGGGCACCTCGGGGCTGCCATCATGGCTTGTTATGCTGCTACCACGTGCATCAGTGGTTTTCTCCCCGTGGCAACATGCTCACACTTGTCCAGCAACACGGGGCGCGCAATGGGCATCAGGCTTCAACGATGGCCAAAGATGCTGTTCCCACCACATGCCACTGCTACAGCTCAAAACTAGGTATGAGGCACTTGAAGATGTAACTCTCCAACCATCACTCCCATGGGTCTGCGGTACTTTTGTTTCTTCACTTAGAGCAGCTTTCCAAGACGACCTACTATGATCTGAGCTACAGCCTCCATCCACCAGAGATGCTTACAAAGCCACTAAGGCACAGAAATCCAACCAGAACAAAGTCCAAGATTATTTCTTCAATGCAAGGGGCAACAGCACCTCCAAAGCTGAGGGCTGCTAGTGTTGGTGGTGTCTGATACAGCCTATGGACCGCTGTCTGCCTGTGCAATCAGAATGTTTTGCCTCACTTTGCTATTTCAAGGCACGCTCTTCAAGCAGCAATACCTGTTCGTAAATTGCTATGCAGGTGAGTAACACATCTCTTTCTTCGCAGACATTTGTCACGTTATGAGCAATACCCAGAAAGACTCTCACCCTTGGCCACAAACACAGCAAGAGATGGGCGAGGCGTCCAGCCCAGCAAAACAAACAAGGCTGTCACTGGAGTTTTCACAGGATCATAGAACAGTTTGGACTGGAAGGGCCCTTCAGAGGCCATCTAGTGCAAC